GTTTATAGCAAAGATAAATTGCAGATGGCATATTAACAGTTTTAAGCACATACAGATAAATAAAGATTATGTTTCATAGATTAATTGCATTAAAAATTCCGTAGATAACAGTTTTCCAGTAATTATAGTTTTATAGTGATCTTACATTCATGTGAAGAAGTCTTTTCAGTTCAATTTTGACAGTCAACGTTTTATTTTGGTTTCACACCGACACAATAAAAGTCATAATGAAGAGTGTGAATACGTTCGCAGAATCTCAGATGCCCATCACTGCATTATTATAAGCACGAGCGGAAACTTCAACAGATTATCCTTTTGCATAACATGTCTTTTGATTAAAAAGTGCAGAGACCAATGAAAGAAAGAGTGAGTATCTGAAATATTTATAACAAGCCCCGGAAATTATTGACAAGACATAATTTCGAAAAAGTGTTGCCGATTATTATTCTATTCCCTCAAGATCTGTAGGCTTTGCAAAAGGGGTCTCAGCACGTTCAGCACGTTGTTGCAGCCCCGCCGAGACATTTAGAATTACTTTGAGGTCTGAGGGCCATATACTTTAGAAAATCATTACTTACTGCGTTCCTGTGTACACCTTATCTCCTGGCAACCTAAGTGAAACAACTATCGATCATTTATCGATTAAGTTAATGATTCTATAGATTTGAAGACAACTTATTTGTATACCATATTATAAGCAATGTTGACGACTGCATATGCATGAAATTACAAAGTTAAGCGTTGAACATAATTTGATTTGTTTGTAACATGTTTGCCAAGGAAAAGGCATTACATCATTTACACATTTGAAGAAAACTTAGAATATGATCAGATAGATATGCATATTTTGAAATAAGAATTCTCAGGTTTACAGCTTTAAGGATTGGAAAGTGTTTGAAAATTACTTGACTGTAATATTTACCCCGCAACAGACAAACTTATCATTGCTTTAGATGCACATATACTTGGATTATATATGTATGCACATTATATCTGTGCATTAGCAATAGCACAAGTTCCCCGTGCATTTTAGCTGATATTGAGTTAGAAAAGAATATTAAGCAATCAATAATGCATTTGAAGCTATTTATGATGACAATGTCGACAAATTTAATGAACAAATAAAGATAAAAATGCATTTATTGGAATACATAAGTGTACTTATGTCCTCCAAGTGTAACTTGTCTGCTGTCTCGCTGATTTAATCTTCGCAGACGGGATTGCCAAAATCTTTTCTTAATATTTTTTTCTCACATGCGTAAAATTTTCATCAATTAATTTCCTTGTTTCATGATAAAGAAGGAATAAGGAAAAAAATTTTACTAAATGAAATGAAAAGATAAAGCTCATTAATTAGAGCTGGAGCTAGTATTTTGATACTTTTCTGCATGATTAAACGTCCAATATACTGTTCTTGTTCATATTCCTATTTAAAAGGTGGACTTCAAACTTTTATAACGTAACATAAATGTGAGTGGAGTGGTAAAAGTTTTAAGCTTTAAACGCACTTCTTATGTAAGCAAACACAGCTTTGTTGAAGACATTAAGCTTCTCCGTTGAGACCCCGGAAGAAAGGAAAGCATTTTATGATTGATACTTGAAAGAACAGGAAGGAATATCTTAGTCGTCGCGTAAAACCGCCACTCCTTATACTGATAAGACTGATAACATGATTATATCAAGGCTAGTATTCGAAATCTTGATAATGATATTAATCTTGTTATAGATCAGCTGATTGCATTAAATAACATGATAGTTGTCCGTATAAGCAAAAATTAAATACTTATAAATGAGTGTTACAGCCCCCATCTCTTTAGTATTTTTGTCCCTTACTCTCTTAGTCTTATTTTCCTAATCCCTTTACTATTATTGTCCCTAAAAATCCTTACAAAAATAAAGTTGGGTTGTCCAATGTATTTGTAATTCGTTCTTTATTTGTTTATAAAAACTTATATGTAGTTTTATTGGTTCCTTAAAGCTGTCTTATTGGTTCATTGAAAAAGTAAGTCTTCAAGATGTTTGCACGTATGTCGGCAATGTCGCCCTCTCTTGTAAATCTTTCCTTTCATTTTTTTGCACACATTTTAAAACTGAAGTATTTCTTTATAGGTACATTAAATGATTAAATTTATTCTTGTTTAGAAAGAACAAACGTGTGTGTTATAATGTTATTTAGAATATGATAGATGTTTATCATCTGAAGAAGTGGCGCTAAATTTGTAACAATTTGTCATCAAAGTAGCAAAATGTAAACAAAGTAGTATTTTAATTTCGATACAATACACTCGGCCATTAGAATACTACAAATTACCAAACAAACAGAACAATGCAAATAAAATGCTTTTGAGAACTATAAATGATTTATTTATTTATTTATTAGGGGGAAAGTTGGGGGCTTAATGGGCCATTTACATGTAAGTTTTCAGATCAGTGAAGACAATTTGGCAAGTCATTGGACAAGGTTAGTTGAATAATGGTGATTGTTTGATAGTATACAGTGCAGAAGATTGTGACTTCTTTATACTATGCCGAAGGAAAATGGTGGATTTCCTGAAAAAAAAGTAGATTTTAATCATAAACAAAGTCGAGTGGGTAGGATGATTTGAGCTTGTCTATGACCAGAGAGGAGAGATAGTACAAAGGAGAATTTTATAGATTGGTATAAGATTTGCTTTTGAAGTAGCTAAGAGTGGTTGTAAATTTCAAATCTTCAGATAGAGTCATCTTATCCCATATTACAGATAGCAGAATTTATTTCCTTAAAAATTTTCGGGTTTTCCAAACTGTATTTTTAAAAATGAAAATGTGTGCCAGTTTATTTTTGGGTTGAATGTTTTGTTGTAAAAAAAGCTAAAGGGGAAAAATTCGGGTTTTTTAAATAGTTTATTTTTTTTCTTTGTCTGGATATAAATTTTGTATTTTTTTATGAAACCCTTACACTGGGGTGATACATTGTTTCCTTTTATGATAAACTTAAATAATTTGAGAGTGTGCTAATAAATTTAATGCTTCTTACGCAAATGAATGAAAAATAGTTAAATATTATTTAAATACAGATATTGAATGAAAGGCAACTCATTTTGTTTATGTTTTAGGTTGAAACGCCCCTGGGTATTGCATGCAGTATGTTGGTGTCTGAAAATTCGATTCCATGATCACTTTTATAAAATGAGAAATCGCACAAAATTGCTACTTTTTATATCAATATTTACGTAAAAGTGGTCATTCTTTTAAAAAAAACCGTTCGATTCAGCCAGTGGAGCACATTATTGATGATTCTGATGCTTCGGCTAGTTTAAATGTAAACGTAAGATACTTGGCATCGTGAACCTTTCCCATTGGGCCTAAATGACAATATTTTTTTCAACAAAGGAACATCTAAAAAGATTCTTACAGTGATATATTTTCTATTCTGAACATTCGCAAACGTAAATCCCGATCTCATGGAGTACGTAACATCAAACGTAAATCTAAAATTACCATGTCAGTCACCGACTTAAATCATATGGCAAACATGCAATGTTATCTTACTTCCCAATCATCATCATCTCTGAAAATTTTAGACGCGGAGGCTGATAATATAGTTATTCAAGAATATCCTTTATATACAGCAGGATATCTATTTCAACATTTATACTTCAAAATCTCCGAGACTCCAATTATTTGCTATAAATATCAGAAACCTGTTAGAAATATTATATTTAATTATGATAAAATGGTTTCTGACTTAGATATTCAATCTAATACTCCAACAACTTGAGACTGCAATACTTCTAAATTATGTAATTCAGACTTTGGCAATATTAATACTGGTGATTTTGATATAATTGCAGACAAAAGAATTCGTAACTTATTCTTGAATGGACCTAGATACAGAATACTCTCTGAAATTGATTTTAATGCTTGTCGTGGTCAGATTGCTGCATTTATTGATGATTTTTAATCAAATGGTGTCGCCGTGAAAATACGGATAATAATGCACTAGTTACACGTATGATCTTTAAAATTGTTGATATGAACTCTGACGGACCAAGTGGAAGGCCCTATGATGTTTTTAAAGCCCTTTGGGACTGAATTGTCTTAAATTCGTCTTCTGTCTTGCTTCGTGGGCCCTTGTAGTTGATTTCCCTTTGCTCTGTCTTCCTTAAAGACAGTGAGTACCTTCGTTATGTTCATTGGATTAACTTTTATGTGTACTAGTATCTACATGATCATTTCTGTGTTTTATTTATTTCACCTTTTGTAATTCATAACGGTAGAAATTACGCTTGTTTGGGGAATTCATTTTATTTCACAATGTCCTCGTTTTTAAAAAAACATGGTTTGGGCTAAGAGTGAAGGGTTTGATGCATCATTTAACCGGTTTTTTAAACTCCCCAGCAGTTGCTTATTGCTTGCTGACCGTTCCAAGGCGGCTTCCCTCTGTGTTCTTCAGATGTATGTCTTTGTTGTTTCATACTGTTTTGGTGCTATTTTTGTTTGGTCTCCTCTCGTCTACAGTATCTTCCTTTTCCCCTAGTTTTATTATATATTTTTGCCCTTCTCCGGATCTCAGTCCCTTTCTCCTGTGCCCTTTTACTTTGTGAGCCTTTTAATGAATCAATTATTTGTTTTCTTTCATTTCCTTATCGGTTATTATTATTTCTTTTTAAGTACGATTTAACTGATTGCCATGTCCATACTCTGCCTTACGCCCTGTCCTGTCTTCATTGGCTCCTTGCCACTGGTTCTTAATGCTGGGTCGTGTGGAATGCGTTCATTGAACGTCGCCTTTTCTTGTTGATTTTGTCTATCATATTTTATTATTCACTAACTAAAGGTACTCCAGAGAGTCATACGTTGAGAAGAAAATGAGAACAAAGAACAACAGGGGAAGGCGATATCTGAAACTTATGTCCTCTCTATCAATATAAAATTACTAAATTAAAATGAAAAATGGCAATATCCTTTTTCATATTATTTAAAAAAAAAAAATCAAATATTTGTAAGACAATGCAAATGCGGCATATATTACACAATACTATGCGTGATATAACAACATAAAATATATAAACAAACAAATACTTATCCACTAGGTAGTTATATGGACAAGTAAAGATGAAATCCGTGCGAGCATCCAAACAGTAGACATAAAAGAAGAAAATCACCACGAACAGACTTTTCACTCCTGCGAGACAACAAGCGAGGTCATTGTTCATTCTAAGCATAGACGTTTATCATTTTCGGTCAAGTTACAACTAACTTAATGTGTCATAATAAACATCAAAACAAACAAGTCAGCATGGACTTCTCTGTAAACAGGACTCGTCTATGATCACTTATTAACAATATTCAAAGAGATAAATGCTAAACTGCAGTTGTATACGTTTTCATCGAAATTATAATGTAATCTGGCATAATCTATGCACGTCTTACTTCGTCCGACTGTAAAGGATCAGGGCCGTGACTTGTCGACAAAGTTGTCAGTGTGCGACCACTACTGCCACTGCCGTGACTTGTCGACAAAGTTGCCAGTGTACGACCACTCCTGCCACTGCCGTGACTTGTCGACAAAGTTGCCAGTGTACGACCACTCCTGCCACTGCCGTGACTTGTCGACAAAGTTGCCAGTGTACGACCACCACTGCCACTGTGCTGCTGTGCGCTGTACACTCTCATCATACGTAAACTGAAATAATAAATTGATGCTCATCTGAAAAAAATATATCTAATATTTTCCAAGAATTTATTTGTGGACGTTATTTCCAATTAAGTTGGAAATGAGTTATTTATCTAAAAAATCTTAATGTATGTAAACTATTCATAAAAATTGATATTATATCATAAAGTGTAAATTACAGGTAGCTGGTAAAAAAACATTGTGTGAAGCTTATGATGAGTCTCATATAAGTGCAATATATTAATTGTCAATGTAATGACCGCGTCCGTGGTCGAGGGGTTAGAGTCGATGACTTCTAATCCAGTTACCTCTCGTGGGTTCGATCCCCGGGAGATGATTTGGTGGTTTAGCACGGAGGAAGGTAGTTTAGTACTGGTGTAACTCTCAAGGAAAGATGGTTAGGAAACTACCCGCCTATATGACTGAAATACTGTTGGAAAAAGGCGTAAAATGAAACAAACAAACAACAAAAAAAAAAAAAAAAAAAAAAACACACAAACAAATGTCAATGTTATACGAGTTTGTACAAATAATTAAACACTAGCTGTTAATAAAAACATGTAATTAAAGGAACAGTGAAAAGAGGAAAAGAAAAGTGAGTAAAGTTTAAATTGTAAGAGGCGCCGCGATAGAAATCGTTATAACATTATTGTTAATTGGATTTTGTGGAACTTCCGTACTAAAGAATATAATTCATAGATTGGATGATGTATACGTCAAGGCCATGTCCATGTCAGTAAAACTCTTGTATATGGAGTGCAATTTGCATCTGTGATAATAAAAATGAATTAAAGTCATTGTCAAAGAAAGAATTCATTGTAAAAAAATCGTACTCGTTTGCAAGGACTCCCTCCAGAAATAATAATAAGAAAATAAAATCAATGTGATTATATGGGTTGCTTTTTGATTAATGTTTTCATGAGTCAATTTTTTGTTTCATTGATGCATGTATCACAATGGTCATCTGTTCTTGTTTTTTTATTTTATTTTTTTTAAACGTAATATTTTACTTTTGTATGTCAAGCATGATGATTATCCGAAATAAGATTAACCAATAATCCCATACAATCCAACCAATAAACCCATTAGCAAAGATCGAAGAAAACAGCCACAGATTCTAATAATTTTATTAGTACTTAACATTTTCGTTTCAAGATTAAAACAGAATGTATTTAGCAATTCGAATAATTCTGAAAGTTAATTTAAATTTAAAAAGAATTGCTTAAGCAATTGGATTTTAGTCAGATCATATTTTTTCACGAAATTCATAAATATGAACGTTTTGTCGATACTAAATCCATGGATTTGCAACACTGATAGAACTACAGAAGACACTCAAAATCCTGAAAAACGCAAGTAACCTAACTGTGTAATCGAAAAATATTTCGGACGAAAAACAAATAAAAGTCAACAGATATCTTTACCTTTGATGACATCGCAGTAAGGCTTTGAGCTCTTTGTAAAATCTGTCATTTGTCGCTGTATAAAGGTAAAAATTGATACAGGAGTTCGAATACTCTAGAATATACGTGATACTCCAGGCTAGGTCCATTCTTGAAATTGCTACACAGTTGTTTTCCTCTTCATACACCGGTAACAAGTATGTATCAAGTATCATATATACTGAAATTGGCGTTGTAGCAATTAAGAAGTAAAACGTACACGCCACTAACATTTTCGTCATTTTAACACTAAACCTTGTTGTGTGTTGATATACCGATTTATGCATCATCGAAACTCTTTCCTTCTGAACTGTCCGGAGAACATGGATGAGAAGAATATTACACACAAACATGATAATGAATGGAACTGCGCCTACAATGGAGAAGTCAATAAATATAAAGATGTTCTCGTCAAAAAAGAAAAAGTCAGGATTAAGTGAACCGCATGATCCTTCAGTATAATTGTTTATACCGTTAGTAAAAAAGAAATGTCCATTTATTAGAACTAAAGTAACAAAAGTTACAAATAAACCAATAATAACAATTCTATAGCTGAATAGTCCACGATACTTCATTGGAAAATATGCTTTGATAAGTCTTTCTACAGTGACTCCGACAAGAATCCAAGATGATAAATGCATCGACAAATACAGAAAGAAATAATAAAGTTTGCAGTTGGCATTACTTGCCGTTCTCAAGTCATATTGAAAAACATAGAGAATCCAATATCTTGGAAGTCCGGTACACAAAACAAAAATATCACTTATCGCCAAACACAGAAGAAATGTCAGGGTCGGTTGTTTTCGAAATCCAAGGCGTTTGATAACTAATATTGTAAGGATATTTCCTGTTAATCCAAAACAAATAAAGATGGGTGGACACATTTTCCAAAGATAGTCCGAGACTGTATTTTCTATTCGGCTCTCACATTCTTCCATGGTGGCATTGCCGGTATCATTTGATAGCCATGGATTTTGCGTTGTTAAATTTTTGATGCTGTGTATGTCGGATGTCATTATTTTTGCTTTATTACACTTATCTTAAATAGTAATTGATCCATTAAATCTGTAAGAATCCTTGTATTGGTTTTCGTAGTGTATTGGTATATATAGGGATTTATGATCCTTCAAGTTTGTGACGTCGATTTGCATTGGATAATCTTGATACTAAGAGGCTGTTACAAATTCATTTATGTAAATTAGTAAAAAGTGGATGATTTGTTTCGTTGATTTTTATCTAAATTAAAATAAACTGATAAATGTGGAGAAGCGTTGCTATATATTCTATATCGTTAGATGATATGTGACCTTGTATAAACTTCAAATATTATTTTGTAAAGTGTTTTTATACAATATATAAGCAATCATTTGATGAGAATATATAAGGAGACTTGTAAAATGGTAATTTTGTAGGAAATTTAACTCTTTAAGTTTATTACTAAGTAACATAATTTCAATAAGATATATTTACATTTGAAATAATGTGCACTTCTTTGATATTCAGTGTTTTTAAATTTTCCTAGAATCTTAGCATTTTAAGCAACGTTTTAACGATTTAATGATTAGTTATTACAAAAATATGCACTGCTCATATATTGCACACCTTTAATTCCTATTCCAAGATGTTTCACACACATGATACCATATATTAGAAATGTAACAAAAGTAACAGAGAATCCAGTATTGTAATACAAAATAAAAGTCATTGAATGTACACAATTTGACTTTTAAGATCATGTACGTTGTGATCAAAGTGGTAAACCATACTAAGTGAAACTATAAATATGTACATAATTATGCAAATTAAACAATTTTCAAACATCGAAGAATAATATCATATGTAATCATTAAAATATATGCAATCATTTCTTATTGTAAAATTTGACTTGAACTTTATAGAAAATATTTTTTATTACTTCTCTTTATTTACATGAAATGTCAAATTCGGTAATATCTTTATAAATAATGCTTTTTCGAGCCTACAATATTGATAAATCTTAATTTGAGCATAATATTTATGACTTAAAACCATAAAAAGATATGTAACAGGATCTATAAATACGAGATGACCATCAAAAGTTGTTTATTGGTCCCCACCTCGGTAACGCCGATTATTTCCCCATAATAGGTACGATGGTGTCGGGGTCATTACCTTTATATCTTATAAAATTTGTATGTACCTAATGTTCTATATTATTATTAATGATAAAGTTATTTTAATTTTATTTTGTCATGTTTAACAATAAAATATCAATACTGTTATCTTTAAGTAAAAATAAAAAATAAAAAAAACAACAAAAAATAACAAAAAAGGAATACAAAAAGAAACAAAAATACACAATTAAAAAAAATCACCACTATTTGTATGGTATGGGGTGAAATTATTTTCCTTATCAGGTGCAGTATTTAAGGAATCAAAGATCTTACGATTGCCAATTTATCTATTTATCTTCTGTTAAATGTGTCCTTTTGATGAAGACCAACGAAAGTTGAAAGACATTGGCAAAGGTGCGTAGTTGAACAGCCTTAAACTCTTATATAAGGGAGGGAGTACATTACTTACAAGGCATCGCATCCGGGCTTTATTTGTGCTGATCGCAGTTGTTTATTTTAAAAAGTATACGATTGAAAATAATACGCCTTCGGAGATATACAAAAGTGATTTATAATAGACTCTAAAGCTCAACTTAAATTTTACTTTCCTCACAACAGTTCAAAAATAAACTGCAAACCAAACATAGTTTCATGACCGTTAATGTGATCAATTAATATTCCTCTCTCTTGTTGATGTATCATAGTTGTCTTAAGAATGGTATTAAGCAGATTGCCGGAGTTACAGTTAATTGACGATCCACCGTGGCATTATCATTTAAAAAACATGACAATACTACATTCATTTGTTTGTATCTATTTAAATATATATTTTGTGTACCTAAAAAAGTAACGGCTATAAATGTACAACCAATAAATTCGTTCCTCTGTCAAATGATTTAACGTTTTCACTTCTTCCGGGATCTCATAGGCGAAGCTTCAAGTGTTTAACGATGTTTGATAAAGTCATGTCTACATACAAAAAAATCTGTTATACCCTTGCATGAAATTCACTTGTTTCTCTCTTGTTTTACTTTAAGAGCAGGCGACAAAAGAAGAAACTTGAGGTTGTTTTCTTTTTTGCATTTTCATCCCTTTTGAAGCTTACGTATCTTAAGAAGGGGTACAAAAGAAAACGCCTCCATATTTCATCAATGCGTTACATAAACAACGCTGTTTAAAATCAAAAGTTTATTTATGTTAGCAACTTACGGTTAAAATAGCGTTTCGTTAAATATGACGTCCATTTTTGACAATTTAAAGGATATGCCAGGGACTGCTTGTCTATTAGTTTTTTACAAATTATCGAAAGGATATGCTACCCGTCAAGTGATTACGCTGATGACTTCTGTAAATTAAAGTTGCAGAGTTTTCTTTTTCAGTTCACATATTTCAAATTCAAATATTAAGAATTATCTCTTTATTCACATATTTCAAATTCAAATATTAAGAATTATCTCTTTATAAGGCTTAATTTTTGACGGTTGGACATTTCCAAAGTTAAACATATTCGACGTCAAATATTTTTATATAGAAATATGATGTGAGAAAAGGTAGCGTCGTTGTCTGTCTATAAAAAACGAGAATAATTTTAACAACCATTCCTTATATGTCAGTAGAGATGGTCAGCTCCAGGAAGTAAACTGAAAAGTGCTTCAAATAAATAACTTTCTTACTCACAATCGCGCAAAGATTAATATGTTTAAACTAAAATATACTTCAATATGAACTGTGATCAGGAAGAGGATCCTAACAAAGCGACGTTAATACAATGGTATAATCGTACAATACCAAAATGGTGTCAGCAGAAACAATTGACCCTTTCACTGATAAGGTTGATTAATTATTAAAATCTTCACATTATTTTGTAAGATATGTTTAACCTTTTCCACTTTGATGAGATACCTCTTATAACAAAAATATTCTTTAAATATATCCTTTATTTCTGTTTTTATTGGACTACAAAAGCAAAAACATTTATAAAGATTATTAAAAGTTTTTCACAATCCTGAATATTAAATATGATAAACAAGATCAGCAAGGAAAGGCGGCTGTTCAGTGAACACAATTAATTTGTCGTTAATGCGTTTCGTAACACAATGTATAGGCAGTTCCTACACATGTTACTTTCATAGGTTTGAATTAAATAATTGTTTCTCAGTATATATATTTACAACAAGTCATACAGATTCAATTTAACACAATTGTTAACCTCATCTTAGTTATTGTAATTATTGTGATAAATGACAAAATATGTGTGCTCATTGTATACAATCTTAATAAAATGAATAATAAGAATATGGAATGAGGAAACAAACAGTTTCCTAAATTATGTTTTGCATCATAAATATTCACCAATTGTCTAAGTAAAGTAAAAGTTATTTTTTTTAATGAGGAACGGGTAAAAGTGATTTGGTCTCAAACGGACGCCGCTGATATCGGTAACAGTTGATACTCGTGATAAATAACAGATATAAAAGTCTAAAGTTATTTCATACATTCCAAGTATAAAATCAGTTGATACATATTACGCACAGGATTGGCCATTGGATTGGACATGAAAGGCCAGTTTATACATACCGACACCACAACGTGTAAACTTACTTCTTCGCGACAAGTATACGGCGAATTATCTCGCATATATTGGCAAGAGGTCGAAATAAAACATTTTAAACATTTTGAACATGTCAAAGTCTTACTTGCAAACGCAGAATATGTAGTGAAAGTGCGATGTTATGTCACAATCTGTTGCAAATATCATTTGAATTTTCAAAATATACTTTGCTCATATTTGGGTAAAATGCGTGTTTTTTGCAGAATTTATTTGAAATCCTAAATTTTTTAACCTTATATGTCTGATTTAAATAAGAAAATGCAAAAACTATGTGTTTGTCAAGATGAATACCTCATTATTGTGGAAGTGTATTTGGTGCTTTTTAAAAAAATGGCCAGTTTGTTTTAAAAGCACTATGTATTTATACTATTTTGTCTATATTTTGTAGCGTTTAAAACGAAACAAAAATGTTCTGTGTGTATGTTAAAATGTGTTTATTTTACATTTAAAAAGAGTCGGCATAGCTTTTTTTCAGATATCAAATTTATAAATAACAAATCCTTACTTATTAGTATTTCTATGAAAACATAACTGTAAGACAATACGTATTGCTACATTTATTGCACAATATCAACCAAAGAAAACAATAAATAACAACAACAGTTACAAAAAAAAACAATATAGTTGCATAATAAATCAAAGGGCTGCAACCTCTGTGGTATTTTCTGATCTTTGCAATCTAAATCATACTGACTATCTGTATGTATTTTCCTGTATAAGTTTATTTTTATATACTATAATTAATCTTACGCAACGACTGCGTCTATAACACAGTTTGAGATTGATACATAAGGAATTTTGCATGACTAGAGTTGCATCAAAAAATGACAGCCACACTTTATCCTTGCATATCGTGGCTACTTCCTTAAAAAAGACACCAAAAAAAGTTGCCTCGACTAGGATTTGAACCTTTGGCCTCTCACACCCTAAACGAGCGCGCTACCTCTGCACCACGGTGAAGTAATACATATGTAGCTTGAATAAAAACAAATACATTGTAATTCTAATTTGAGAATTTCCATTTCGTGTTTGTAATCCTTACTAATTTCGAGGTATTTTGTTCACGATAAACCTGTTGTTTAACACTGATGAAAATAATTTAGCGAAAATCTTCTCGACAAAACGGTACGACATGTATATATTCCACTACTTGACAGTCAGATTTATTTGTGAACTACGCTCTGGAGTATTCGTTAATCGACATAGCTAAAAATAGCATTTTCATTGATTAAGC